TCCAGTGAGCAAAAGAAGAGGTTTTTATGCCTGCTAACAAGGTTTAACACTTTCGAATAGTTTGACTGGTAAAAGAAATCCCTTGAATGTTACCAGTTAATTAACCCTAACACTTTAATGCCTTCATTGTGTTCGTATTCAGTGCTATTCTTGTTTGTGTTTCTAAACGCGAATTTCCTCTCTCCATGTCCGACGTTACCATGATGGTATGAATCCTCCTGCTGTTTTACTTCTATTCTTCTCTTTTGACTTCTATTCTTGTGTACATCTGCTTTCCTCGCCTACGTGTTGTGTGCAGTTCGCATGACCACTTTCTTCCTAATTCAAGTTATACGAGGCTTGGACCGATGCATGATTGTCATGAAGAATACTACGTTTCAACTCCTGTGTCTATTTCCACTCTTCAACGTTTTTTTCTTCTCAGTTGTGCGTACATGTGACTTCACAAGCACGAAAGGCCTGACCGAAAATGAACAAATTCATAAAGCGAGAAGCGTTACTGGCGGGTTTCGATTAAAATTCATCGGAATTATGTGTAATTGTGATCAGGCAAAAACGGAACGCGTCATTTACATTCACTTTCAGTCACACTCCATTTGTATCACTGATGTTCCTCCCTTTGATTTTACAGTTAAAGGCAAGCAACCCACACACATATATATATATATGTATATGCATATGTATATATGTGTATATATATATACATATATATATATATATATATATATATATATATATATATATATATATATATATATATATATATATATATACATGTATATATATATATATATATATATATATATATATATATATATATATATATATATATATATATATATATATAAGTACATGTGTGTGTATGTATGTGTATATGTGTGTATGTGTGTGTGTGTGTGTGTGTGTGTGTGTGTGTGTGTGTGTGTGTGTGTGTGTGTGTGTGTGTGTGTGTGTGTGTGTGTATGTGCGTGTGCGTGCGTGCGTGCGTGTGTGTGTGTGTGGTGTGGTGTGTGTGTGGGTGTATGTATATGTATATGTAAATATATATATATATATATATATATATATATATATATATATATATATATATTTATATATATATATATGTGTGTGTGTGTGTGTGTGTGTGTGTGTGTGTGTGTGTGTGTGTGTGTGTGTGTGTATGTATATAAAGCCGCAGCTCATATATGTAAAAAATTCATTGTATGTCTATTTGGTATACATTTCTCTTAAACCAGAAAGAAATTATGTAAATGTGTATTTGTTGTCTTAATATTTATATACATTAAATCACCCTTCTTTTCTTTTCCTTCCTCATTCGTTTTTTTATTCTTTTCTTTTTCTTTTTTCTTTAGATGGCGTAATTTTTGAAAATAGTTTTTTTTCCAGATTATGTGTTAGCCTCCTGAATATGGTAATTTAATTTGAGAAAGGAAGAAGAGAAAAAGATGAAAGTAAAAAGGACAGAATAACTAGCCCTTCTTCCTCCCGCCCACAGACAAGGCCAGTATGTGCTGGAGCCGCCCCTCACCCCGACGGACAAAAAGGTACCTGTGACGGAGCGCCTGACGCAGGTGCAGCCGACCTGGGTCATCCCGGGCTACTCCAGCGTCCGAGGCATCATGCCACTTCCTTGACCCTGACCTTTGGGCTGCCCTGTGCCCCGTTCTCGCCTCTCTTCCTACCTGTTTTCCCGATCTTCCTCCTATTCTGTTCCCTTCGTTCTCCGGGGTTCGTTCGGCGCTCGAGTGACTTCGTGTCTCGGCGCTGACCCCCTCCTCGCGGCCACATTCCTTCCTTCGGTGGTACTCCTCGTGAGCTGGCCTTCCTGGTAATCAGAGCGCTTCCTTCTGCCGGAATTCCACTCGGCGCCATGCACTTCATTCCGACCTTATTGATTCGATCGCCTCTTTTCCCAAAGCATTCCTTCTCCCGGTCAGGAAGCCTCTTCAACCTTCTTCATCTTCCTATATTTTCAACGCCGGAGGGTCGGGCCGTCATCGCTTCTACAAGAAAGCGACTTTCTTGTCTTCGTCTTCGTGAAAATTAACAGAATCATTGGTTCATGCACAATTAGGAATGGGGGGTCTAAGCATTCATACTGTGTTTATATTTATAACCAAATACTTCTAAGGGAAAATAAGTGGTCTTGTAGATAAAGAAAAATCATCGAAGTTCTAGGCCTATACGAAGTACGAAGGAGTGTTCCTCTACAGTATTACGTGTATAATTTCTCCTTAATCAAGTTAATTCATCCTACGACTGAAATTGAAATCTTCAGAACTAATACATGAAAGGAAATACCTACGCGAATGTCTTCATTTCTTGATAAATATCCCAGTTAACCTTACAGATGATATGAGCAATTGTGAAGAAAGAAAAAAAAACTCAACATCAAAGCAAAAGGTTGTTTGATGCCCAATGTGTGAAGCTGATGTTCGTCAGTATATGCCACATGATAGTAGTTTTTGAGTGTGTCCATTGGGGGGGATTTTATTTTTGAAGTCCACTACAGTGCATGTGTCAGAAAATGGGAATAGACCGATGGTTATTGGTACTATTCTATCGTTTTATATATGTACAAATTTCTATGTTGCTGGAGAATTATATTCATATTATATATACATATATATATATTATATACTCAAATGTCTATATAGTGTCGAAGCTAAAGATGATATGAGCATACAAATGTCTATTAGGTTTTCAGAATAAAAGAGCTATCCAACATAAAATAAAAACGAGATATAAGTAGATAGTGTGAATGTTATTTTCCATCACCTTAATCTAACAAAAACACAGCAAGCCACAAATTAGCCTTACAACTAACTAAACGCTCTGCTGTCCAATAGGATGCGTCTTTGTGACTCTCAGTACTTTGATGCCTCAGTGATCGTGACGTCATGACAAAATCAAACACGCATTCTCTGTGCTTTCCCCTTGGGTTGCCTATGTCTGCTGCTTCGAACCAAGATGTTTGGCTCAGGTGGTTGGAAGTGAGAGATGACATAGCGAAGTGTCCTGTGCTGTTGTTGTTGTTGATGTTGTTGTTGATGTTTACGTCCCCTTCCCCCCCTCTGCCTAGTATTATGGAGAAATAGCTCTTACAAGTATATGGATATGGATGTGTATATGTGTGTATGAATGCCAATAAGTACACTGGCACATTAATGTGTGCTCACACATCTACGCTACACAAGTGCAAACACTTGACACACATACCACAAACTCACACACACACACACACACACACACACACACACACACACACACACACACACACACACACACACACACACACACACTCATACACACACGCGCGCAAGCAGCATACATACTTGCACATTTTTACGCACATATATGCATACATCCTTTGTGTCACAAGTCACCGTCTTCGTCTGTTGTGTATAATAAAATGGCCTTATTCATCAGAAGCATTTTGGCCTTGGCAGTCAGTCAGTCTGGAACATTACATATATTAGGTCAAATTGTAGTCAGGTTTTGTGGATTTGGATATATTCATGGAATGGTCAGGAAAAATCACGATGAATTCAACAGAGGTTAGGACATACGTTGAATCTAGGATGTCGACACTTTTTTCAAACTTTGGCGCGAGATGTCCGCTCGTGACCTAATGTAATATTTATGTGTTCGTTGTCATACTTAGAAATATATTTTAGTGGAGTGTTATCCGAGTGTGTTTTTCTTATCCTTGTTAACTTTACTGTGGTCACTTTATAATACTTATCTTGAGTACATATTTCTGGAAATTCTGTACACTCTACTTGTTCATGTGATAATCAATTAATTGATTAATTAATGGAAAAATACACATATACACACGTACACACACACACACACACACACACACACACACACACTCACTCACTCACTCACACACACACACACACACACACACACACACACACACACACACACACACACACACACACACACACACACACACACACACACACACACATATATACATATATGACTGCCGCGATAGCTCAGTTGTTAGAGCACTGGACTCCGATCCTCGTGGTCCCGGGTTCAATTCCCCGCTGCGGCAGTCGTAAAAATGCTTGCGCTCTGACTGCTACCTCGAGCCCAAGAAAACGACACATCGGAATTCGTAGGGGAATTCGCCGCCGTGGCACAAGTGTTAACGCGCCAAACCGCGGTTGATTAGGAAGGGCATTCAATCAGGCAAAGGTGGCACTGCCATATAATCTCTCAATACTGAATTGAGAGAGGCCTATGTCCTGCAGTGGAATGAATGGCTGTTAAAAAAAAAAAAAAAAAAAAAATTATATATATATATATATATATATATATATATATATATATATATATATATATATATATATATATACATATATATATATATATATATATATATATATATATATATATATATATATATATATATATATATACATAAAAGAGAATAAACAGAACCATCTAAAAAGAGACAAGTGAAACACTGAACTGATAAGAATTATATTTTTTATACGATAGCATACTGCGTGCAATAAGCAACTGTATGGTAGTTTTTCCTTCCATAAACAATTCCAATGATGGTTTATCATATCAACGTGAAAGGACTGGGAGGTAATGGTAAAAAATTTAACTGAATATGAAATTATGGAAAGTCGCAGCTGTAACAATTTTACCCAGATATTATATACATTTATACATATTACACTTAGTAATATATAGGTATTTCTTAATATCTAGAGATAACTTCTATAAACAAAAGTCACGTGAGTGAACAAAAATTATAAGCTTATATGATGGTGAATGGTGCACAGTCATCCGTGAATCTATAAAACTGAAAATGTACTCAAAGGATCCCTTTAATATTAAGTTCCATGTGGATACCACGATTCATTTTCATATTTAATCAAGTTTTGTGGACATGCCATAGTTCATTTACGAATTTAATCCCATTTAGCAAATTAATTTTCCTTTGCCCACCCTACAAACGATCCCATTACATTGCACCGCTACCACCTAGAGCGAGATAAAGACTACGGAAATGCGCTGGCGTGAAAATAAACAAACGAACTTGTATAATTAATCTTCTCTGTCAGGAGTTACCGATGGCGAGAGGGAACGAAAATGCCAATGCATTAGTAACCAGGGAAGATTGATTACTTTCGGGTCGACATTTTTATGGACATATCACTTAACATCGTAGGTTGTAAAATAGTTCATAATCAGAGAGTTTTGGTATGAACTGATGCTGTTGTGTGGTCCTTTCCGTACCTGTAAGCTTCCCGTGTAGGAGAGCACTGTAGTGTTTAAATAGAGATGAAGAACATATGAACAGAAGTCGGCAGTCACGTTTGCTGTTACTTCATATCAAGAACTCAGCCGTCTGCCATTCAATATATATATATATATATATATATATATATATATATATATATATATATATATATATATATATATATATATATATATATATATATATATATATATATATATATATATATATATATATATATATATATATATATATATATATATATATATATATATATATATATATATATATATATATATATATATATATATATATATATATATATATATATATATATATATATATATATATATATATATATATATATATATATATATATATATATATATATATATATATATATATATATATATATATATATATATATATATATATATATATATATATATATATATATATATATATATATATATATATATATATATATATATATATATATATATATATATATATATATATATATATATATATATATATATATATATATATATATATATATATATATATATATATATATATATATATATATATATATATATATATATATATATATATATATATATATATATATATATATATATATATATATATATATATATATATATATATATATATATATATATATATATATATATATATATATATATATATATATATATATATATATATATATATATATATATATATATATATATATATATATATATATATATATATATATATATATATATATATATATATATATATATATATATATATATATATATATATATATATATATATATATATATATATATATATATATATATATATATATATATATATATATATATATATATATATATATATATATATATATATATATATATATATATATATATATATATATATATATATATATATATATATATATATATATATATATATATATATATATATATATATATATATATATATATATATATATATATATATATATATATATATATATATATATATATATATATATATATATATATATATATATATATATATATATATATATATATATATATATATATATATATATATATATATATATATATATATATATATATATATATATATATATATATATATATATATATATATATATATATATATATATATATATATATATATATATATATATATATATATATATATATATATATATATATATATATATATATATATATATATATATATATATATATATATATATATATATATATATATATATATATATATATATATATATATATATATATATATATATATATATAT